TGTTGTTGTTTATGACATTTAATATTATTTAGCTAAAGGGTTGTATCATCAATTTAATCCTTTTGAAGAAAAGTTACAATTCTCCTTTGTTTAATGCAGATCAGAAGTGCTGGGATGACTTACAGTGCTCCTACCCTAAACCATCTGTCTGTGCCAGGAAAGGCTACTGAACAGTCTTTAATTCTATCCTTTACTCTATTGCTGTTAAACAAGTTGTTAAACAACAAAAGACTTGCAAAATTTACTGATTCACCATTAATTCTTTGGACTTCTTCCTAATTAAATAACATGAATTTGTTGTGGAAGTCTGCTTTAACCACTGCTTTATTCTGTAGAAAATAAAACGCTCCAGCAAGAATATGAAAAATGGTTGTTTTTTGTTTTTACATTGAAACATAGGCTCTCTCCAGGTACTTTCCAGGTAGAGTCCAAAAACATGACTGTAATTGGCTTCTCTGAATTCCCCTTAGGTGTGAGTTTGTGTGAAAGGTTGTTTTGTCCTGTTTGACTTTGTGTTGCCCTACGATGGACTGGCGACCTGTCCAGGGTGGACCGAGCCTCTCAGCTGGAGATAGATGCCAACACCCCTCACAACCCCATTCGAGATAAACATGACGGAAAATAGATGGATGGCGAAAGATAAGCTTTATTCTGAAAAGCTGAACTATAACTTCTTTTTTTCTATCATGTTTAAAAACTAAAACAAAAAAGGAAATGCTACACACCATGTCATGCTTAAACCAAGTCGAACTTGTGGTCTGCTTTGTCATCATTCAATTCAAATGAGATCAAACTTGATAAAATCAGAAAATACTTCATTTGAGTTTATCGTTTATCAGCATTTCAAATCTCCATAAAACCAAATGAAAGAATAATTCATTTTTTAACACTGTTTTCTGGTCTCAGCTTAAATAAACTTGGTGTTACTGTTCAAACCACAGGCATTTGACATAGTGTCACTTTCCATAATTGTTGTTTATGCATCACACCCTGGTGCACAAACTGCAAAAAAAAAAAAAAAAGAAATGTGAGTGTCAAAACTGTTGAGAGAATCAACCCAGATGATATTTTCAGGAAACTACAGGTCAGCCAAGCTACCCTGAAGGATGTTACCGTCCATAAACAAAGCAATCTTTTTGCTCTATTCTGGAAGGTGCTGCAAAGCAGACAAATGCCATTACTCAAAACAGTAAAAGACCTTTTATAGGCATGCTCCCTTTTACTAACTTAAGTCTCCTGAAAAACCTTCATCTTACCAAACAGTTTTAAATTTAATAAAATTATTGTTAATATCTTTTATAATGCGGGATCACAAAAAAGTGTGCTATGTATGACTGTTGGAACAAATGTATATAATAATATCTCATATTTACTCATTTTCTAATACCTTTTATCCTTTCATACTGAATATCTATTTATTTCCCTTAAAGACTGCAATGCCTTTGTAGTAATTTCTGTTTGTAGAAGCTAAGAGGGACTGACCTTGGAAAAGACTCATACTAGGTTTAGTGAGTTGAAGCAGGGGCAACAACCTGCAGGTATCTCCTCACTCTACACAGGTGCAAAATATATAACGTGCACTTTAAAAGGTTGATTTGGCTTATGTTAGCTCTTTCACACTGTTGAGGAAAGAGACAGGCTCTGTTACTCTACAATGAACCAGTTAAATATGCACATACACCCGAGAAAAAAGCAAAATTCCCCATGACAATGCTCTCTGAAGAGTGTAATAAGTGCCATTATTCATATTGACATGAGTCCTGGATTTGCCTGAGCTGAAAGG